ACTGTTCACTGCAGTTTTGCTCTCTCAGTCCTATTCAGTTTTTCTCAAGCTGAGCTGCTGCTCTTGTTTCACTTAGCACATTCAAAACAATGCATTTTATACTCAAATTATAGCAATTCAAGCATGGGAGAGAATCTAGCTTTAAAGGTGAATCTGTTTCCGCTGAATGTAATTTTATTAGTGGACTGAATCTGTGCTTTTTGTGAATATGTGGAGTAGAAAGATAAATTTCTCGTTATGCCTCTTACTGTCAAAAACAAGACATACCAAATAGCAACACAAAAACATCATGTCAGCCAAAAAAAGTGAAGTTTAGGACAGATAACTTTTTGTTTCCATAGAAGATGCCTTTTCTGCTGTGGCAGAGGCAATTCCCTTCCTTCTGACTGGTGATCTAAAATACTAAGTTAGCCTTGCTTTTCCATCAAAGTAGTCTTGACAGCAACTTTCTGTCACTGTCTACCATGGCCCATAGTGTTTTTGTATTGACTCTGCAAATAAATTTTGGAGTCTAAAAGCCTCTATTGAGCCTGCTTTCTTGTTAGCCATGCTTGGTATCTTCCCCAGAAATCTTAATTTTCAATTATTAAATGGTTTTCAGTGTTTAATATTTGGATGCAGTTTGATCAACACCACTTGTTACRTCCAAAAACTTTTACATCATTCCAAGTTGCTACTTCCTTGCACCTTCCAAAAGTCATCTATTTTCTTAATGTTTCTTTCACTGTCAATGGCACCCTAACTACGTGAAGGCTACATGGTATACTTCAGAAACAATGCTGATTCAGAACACAATGATGCTTGAAATAATAAAAGAGAAAGAGAATTAACATAATTGAAGCATTTTCTTAAGGCTGGACTGGGAGACGCAGGCCAAGTAACCAGAGCCTATTTTCGTTCTTATGATAGCAATACTCTACATGGCAAAACTGAGCTTTCTTTTGGTATACCAGTAAGTGAATTCGTGCCAATTAAACACTGAAAATTTTGGCGTAGACTTGATTTGCCACGATCATACAATATGTTCATTATCCTTAAACATCATTCTTTGTCATTTTATGGTGTCAGCTTAGATGAGTGTTAACACCAGGCAGCATTCATTGACTCATTACATAAGCAATAGGCTTGGAGAGACTCCTCTTACGAGCTCTTAGACTAAATCAAAAACCAATCTTTGTAATGAAACATCAGCAAAACTGTTCCTAAAGTCTAAGAGATTTCATGAAGCAAATAATTTAACTAATCATCAGCATTTCATCATCATCAGAATAATTACCTTTCCTAAACCTAGAAGGATGTTTCTTAGAGAGTTGTCGTTAGGTGGAATGGCTGTAGACAAAGAAAAGTTGTTAACAATAAAACTAGATTTCTGGAAGATACTCAGAGAAAACTCAGAGAAATCTTAAATCTAATGAATTAGTGATATCTGGTACTGCATAAACACTTTGACAAAAATACAATCAATCAAATCTTTGAATCCCATTTCACACTATTTTGTGAAAGGCATATTTTGAGTATTTCAGGACTTCTTGTTTCTTATAGAAGAGATAGGATCCGAAATATCTGACACAATTCCCCATATTTTTGTCTCAAAGTTATTGAAAAACTTGCAGAAATTATGAATAAATAATATTTAACTTTATTACCTTTATTAGTACTGCAAATTACCTTTATTAGTACTGCAGTCTGTGCATGGGTCCTCAAATTGAGGTGAACACACAAGTTCCCTTTCTATTGTATGTAACTGTGTGATACAAAAAAATGAGGTGTTTCAAATGAATATTAACTGAGTTAAGGCTTTGCTCAAATGTTGACTACATTGGCATTAACAGTGTGCAAATCTCACACAGATAGCAAGAACACCACCTGCAGAAAAATCTGTGATGACGTAAATAGAAAGTGCTACAATATTCTGCAGTGAAGAAATCACAATTTTGCACAAGCTAAAGATCAATGAGCAGGGTTTGAAGGAACATTTTGTTCACAATCAGAATTTAAAAAAAAAAAGTGCTTTCCACATGCACTAGAACGTCATTTTGAAGGAAGCAGCCGTTTGAACTGTTACTTTTTCTTTCTTCAAATGTCAAATTTCTCACCAGCTGGTGAGAAAAGTGAAAAGAGAAAAGAAAGGAATGGGAAAAAAAGAGGAAAGAGAAGGGAAAGAGAAAAGGGGTGGGAACAGAAGTAATAAAAGTAACCTTGTAGTAAAAGATTAGGAGTAGAAAAAAATCATTCTTTTCTTTAAATCCGTATTTATTGGCAGGAAAGGAGAAAATATGCTTTCCAAAATGTTTAGTTATTTAAATACACAGTGGTCAAGTAAAAATTCATTGAAGAGCTTCTTTCCTTTTTTTTTTTTTTTTTTGTAAATAGTATGTACCTCTTTCATCTTTCATATAGTGAAATGGCCATCAGTCTCTCAAAAATTTGAGGGTTCTTCTTATCTATAACTATATTTTCAGTTATAATCCACCTCATAATCCAATGTATTATTGCATAGCACTGTCATCACTGGATAGTCTGATGCATTCTTATTTTAAACTGATGCAAGCTTTTCAAATAAATGCATTCCACATACTTTATTAGGTTTTCACCCTAACAATGAGAACACAAACGGAGGCATCTCCTTAGATACATAAAAAAAAAAAAAAAAAAAAAAAAAAGTGACAGACGTGAAAGGATTTTACTGAAAGAAAAAGATCTTTCAGGAAATTAATACGCAGCAGCTGACAATTACTGTATTGCATATCAGACTGACATCTCAGTCAGATGTCATCAAAACTCAAAACTTGGATCAGCAAAGATACAATAAAAGTTGCTGGATTCAGGTAATAAATGTAGTATCACAGTGTTCATGAAACTAACATTATCCTAAAAGATCTGTGACTTGGCAGCCTGGCAATGCAAATAAGATGAAAATCTTTTGTAACAAAATCAAAATCGTGGAAGGACTGGAGAGAGAACATGTTTTTCTCTCCTACTTTTCAAGTACAAAGACAGGAAGATCTACCACCACAGCAAGCCCACAGGATAATCTAGACAAACATTTCTCTAGGTGTAAGTATTCAAGCAGATTCATTTTCAAGAAATGTCCAATGTATTTAATATGCACAAATTCAGCCTCCCTATCCCTTTTGCAGTGAAAAGGAACAAATATATTATTAAGTACACCAATGCAAACCTGACAGGCAAGTCACAAATATGATGGACAAATTAGGCCCTGAAACTGATTACAGTCAGAAAAGACTGATTGGAGGCCTGGACTGGGGGMCTGGAGGTCCATGGGCTAAATTCAAGATCAGTGACACTGATTTTGCACTTGCTAACATATCCACACATAATTAGTTACTTAAAGAACATTAAGGGTTTGAAATATCAAGTGTAAAATCAGCAGTGAGAAACATCTTGTTTAAACATTTAAATGTATATTTTTACAATTGTTATGTAACACAATGACAATCCGATATCAAAATGACACAGCCCCTAAATATCATCTTCCTGTCAGAACAGCCCTTCAGTTCTATCTGACGTGTAAGAAACACCTAGAAAAGAACTTAGTCTGAAGTAAAATTTTGTATCTGAATTTGAACCAGTCTGCTCTTACTCCTAGTGCATTATCTATCAAGCTCACTAGCAGCAGCAAGGACCCAGTTTTAGACAAGAATATAGGGAAAGCAGAGCTAAGCCAGTGGACACAGTTAGATGGAAACCCATTAAGACTTGCAAAATTTTGCAAAGGAACAATCACAGCAGAAAGGGGACGGATAAACATTACAAAAAGTGATAATCTTTTTATTTAAGGTATAATAGTTATGTTTAAACTAATACTTGAGAGGATGCTAGTAAACTTGCACTAATGCAGTTGGTAAAAGTAGCCATGACCTCCTGCCCACAGGGAGGTGACTGAGAGGATGGATATCCAGGCTCCACGCCATGGTGCATGGCAGGAGGACAGAGGGGACAGGCGTAAGTTGGAACAAAAGAAATTGAGACTAGATGTAAGGTGAAAAAAAGGTCATTATGAGGATAATAAAGCAGTGGAACAGGTGGCCTAGAGAGGCYATGGAAAATCACAGAGGTTTTGGARTCCCAACAGTGCTAACGCCTGAAGAATCTGGTCTGTCCTCAAGACTGCCCTTGAGTTGAACAGGAGGTTATACAAAGACCTGCTGAGGGCCCTCTCAGCCTGAATGTGTCTTCCAGCTGTCAGCCGGCAAACTCTCCACAAGCGAGATATGCGCTTCCCACTGGAAACTCTTCCTAATGTCTAATAGGAATCTTTTGCTCTGCAGTTTAAACCCATCAGTTCCTGTTTTGTCCAGCGTACATATCTACTCTTCCTCTTTGCAACAATTTATTATGTATTTGAAGACTATATCCATGCCATTTTCAGATTCACTTTGATGCTTTTCAGGTGCTTAATATTTGAAGGTAGCCTTTTAAGTCCCACATTTCAATTTATTTTTACTATTGGGCAAGCATTGGGCAGCTTTCTTGGAAACCCAGCAGTATGTTCAAAACATGCAGCCTGAGACAGCAAGAGTACAAYCAGCTGGCTTTTTTAATTCATTTTTTTACTTTCACTCTATTTCACTGATTTTCATTGTCAAATATTCTGTCATCATTTCATACACATTATCTCATTGTGTAAATTAACTTACACTTCCACTCTATCTGGGCTAAAATAGTCTTTTTTTTTTTCTCTATTGCTTTATTGCTCTCAGATATGACTAAACCGTAATTTGCACAGTAGCTCGTTCTCTTTCCTGGCCTACTGTTGCTCTCAGTTTGCACATTTGCAGCTTACAGTCAGGTTTATTTTCAGTGGAACAGCTTCCTGTTACCTTTCTCCAAGTCTTATTTGTTGCTAACTACAGTTGATTTTGTTTGTTTTCTCAGCAGAATCTCTTTGCCCGTTTCTCTTTTCCTTGAAGGATCTGCCCCTTCGTATAAACATAGGGTGAAATGTTTTCTGAGACTACTCCTCTACCCATTCCTTCAATTTTGCTCTTATAAAGAAATTATCTTTTTGTAGTGCCTCAGCACCAACACCCTTATTTATCAGTCTTTGCTATGTTTAAGTAGGTCTCAGAGAACCACATTAGTGTTTCTACTAGTGKAGGAGCAGTGGAAGGGCCAAAAAGGCCACCCGCCTGAAGCCAGGCTGGGGCAGCAGTGCTGTGACAGCTCTCYGAATCACTTCAGAGTGCGTTATTCTGCTAAGGTGTGACAGAGGAGAAAATACAAGTCCTTCATGCAACATGTTATGTAAAGACAGATGGTTTTGGCTTGCTTGGACATTAGAATTAGAACAGAATAGGATGCCGTGAACAAGGATAACAAGGGATAACAAAATCAGGATATGCTTGAACAGTAAAATGAAGACATTAGTGCTGCATGGATAGGCATAGTTTCAAACTAACTGGCACAGGCAGAGTAGCGTTGAAGATGTAGAAGCATAAAATTCAGTGTGAGCAAGTGACTGGGATAGGGTTAAGGGGGCTCCTCTCATCTCCTTACTGCTGCATCCTCCCGCTTATCTCTCCTTGTGTCATATAGATAAGAGGTACCTTAAAGTTCTTCTCCTCACTGCAATCACTTCTTCARCTGCAGAGTAGAAATACCTCAAGGACTCTCAGCTTCCTCATTCAGCAAGGTAAGCCTTCAGGTTACTGTGGATTGCCTATGTTGAATAGGTCAATTCACCTGTCCCCTAAGGCACTTGGACAAAAGGATGGTATTTCACCTACAGTCTCCCCTGTTCAATGACCTATTTCTCTCAGAATAAGCAAGGATGCAACAAATTTTGCAGTTTGTTCAATGAATGCTATCTATGTAATAATTTACCTAGCTTCAATCTGAAAAATAAGGTTATCATAGACTCTATTCCTTGTAGGATTCAATTATTCCAGTAGTTACTTGCTTAAATATTACTGAGCGTCAAAGTGTGTACCTAATGAACTGCCACTGAGAGCAAAATAAAATTATCTTCATATTTATTTATTTATTTCAAAAACAATTAAATCTTTCAATCCTGAAAAGGCTTTTTTTATGATTTCATGTGATTATAATAATCATATCTATAGTCCTACTGTTTACAGATCAYTTTTGACAAATGCACCAAGCTTTGAGGCTCACAGGGTTTATGACTGTACCCATACACATATTTGCCTTTTATTCTGAGCATGATAAAATGAGTCTTTTATAAACACTTTGAAGATGCCTGCACATCTCAAAAATATGGGATGTCTCATTGGAAAATTATATATTGCAAAATAAAAATGAAAATTAAAAAGCAGACTGAACATGAACAATCTTAGCTTTCCAAAATGTACACTTTGGACTAGAAAGAAAGTGAAAATACAAAAGGCACACACTCCCCAAAAGTTGCAAAAATACTCCCAAATCATTGCAAAGAAAACTATAGCACTGTTGGCACAAGAGGAAAGCTATTAGTGCTGCTGTTGAAGAATCCTCAGATGACTCACCCACTTCACCTAGAAATGGTATCCAGTTGCATACGAGATAAATTCTCTTGTTATTGAAGAGATGGCTTGTAGAGAATAACTGGCTCTCAGATATGTGTATATCAGGGTGCTTCACTAATGATTTAAGGAGACTCATTTTAGAGACAGCAGAGTATTGACCTTGCTGAGAGACCGGTTCCCAAAAATCATAGGTGCAGTTTTTATCCTTGGGGCATTAGCCCAKTAGGATGAATGCTTAAAATAACAAGGTCAATTTAAAATAAAGTGTGAAGTAATGGATCTATTATCAGTTCAGGCTAGATTGAAATCTTAAACCTATTGCTGAAATAAATCTTTCTATAAATCATAGCAAGTCATAGAATCACAGAATCATTATGGTTGGAAAAGACCTTCAAGATCTCTGAGCCCAACCGCAAGCCCCTCCCCACCCTGCCTGCTAAACCGTGTCCCTAAGCTCCTCATCTACACGTTTCTTGAACATTGCCAGGGACAGGGACTCCACCATGGCCCTAGGCAGCCTGTTCCAAGGCTTCACAGCTCTTTCCTGTGCAGAAATTCTTCCTGATGTCTAACCTGAATCTCCCCTCATACAATTTGAGGCAATTTCCTCTTGTCCTCTCTGTAGTTACTCTGGAGAAGAGATCAACCTCTGCCTCACCACAGCCTCCTTTCAGGTAGCTGTAGAGAGTGATAGGTCTCTCCTCAACCTCCTTCTCTCCAGTGTAAATAATCCCAGCTCCTTCAGCCGTTCCTCATAAGGTCTGTACTCCAATACCTTCACCARCTTTATTGCCCTTCTCTGGACTCGCTCCACCATCTCTATGTTCTTGTTGTGGTGAGGGAAGTCTTTTGGAAATATCACAACTGGGATGCCTGTACTTACATCATGTGCATGTTTCTTATTGGAAAAGTTAGTATTAAATCTTATTCAACCAGAGGAATCTGTATTAATGTAATTGTTTTTTTTTTATGTTTTTATTTTTTATTTTCTTTCCCAGATCTTTCTTTCTGTCTGACAGCATCTGAAACACTAAGAAACATGCCTGAGCAAAGCAATGATTACAGAGTTGTTGTGTTTGGGGCTGGAGGAGTCGGCAAAAGCTCTTTGGTCTTGAGATTTGTGAAAGGTACTTTCAGAGAGAGCTACATCCCTACAATTGAAGACACCTATCGGCAGGTGATCAGCTGTGATAAAAGTATATGCACTTTGCAGATCACTGACACTACTGGAAGCCATCAATTTCCAGCCATGCAACGTCTTTCTATTTCTAAAGGGCATGCATTCATTTTGGTTTACTCAATTACCAGCCGACAGTCCTTGGAAGAACTCAAACCCATCTATGAACAAATCTGTCAGATTAAAGGAGATGTAGAAAGCATTCCAATAATGCTGGTGGGGAACAAAAATGATGAGAACCAAAATAGAGAGGTGGAGAGCAGTGAAGGAGAAGCCATGGCCAAGAAATGGAAGTGCGCCTTTATGGAGACCTCTGCCAAGCTGAACCATAATGTGAAAGAGTTATTCCAGGAGCTGCTCAACCTAGAGAAACGCAGGACTGTGAGTTTACAGATTGACGGCAAAAAAAGCAAGCAGCAGAAAAGGAAAGAGAAGCTGAAAGGCAAATGTGTGGTGATGTGAAGTTGCATTGCCATGAGTCAGTCACACAGTCCCATCTCTCTGACAAAAGCAGTGTGAAACCAATAGAAGACAGAGAATCATACAAGCATCTCTTTATTAGCATCTGTTTTAAAAGAAATATTTGGAATTTGAAAAAAAAAAGTGTTACTGTGGTTACTGGTAAAAAGCCAACAATTCAACCATCATTTGCTCCTGCTATGAGTTTAAAAAAAATCAAGACTTCAAAAACAACACAGACTAGGATATTTAGTTTTATAATTAAGAGAAGAAAACAGTTTCCATCTTTACCATACTGCGGAAGATTTGGAAAGTCAACCTCATAATCTTTATGTTTGTATATAACTGCAATGGAAGGCAATGTATCTATATAACATACTTTTAGAAGAAAAAGCAACAAATGCCCATGAGGAAATCTAGAATGTATAAATGCATGCTGGATTAAATTATCATGTCCTTGAAGAATGCTGCCGATAAAGCATTCTATACAATTTACAGTTCCAGTACTGACTGCCATGTGAATAAGAAAGGTGGTCTTGGATCTGCTGGATGGATGGACTGTTTTGCCCTAAAGGGAAGTATGGAGGTAACACAGTTAAAAGCAGGTTCTCTCCACCTCCCACGGCATGAGATGTCCTTCTAATCTGATGCAGTGCTTGAGTGGATGGAYAGGGAAAACCCAGGAGAGCTGGAGATGATTCCTTTTCTGGACACATCATGTCAAGAATCACTTCTGGCCCCAGGATGTATCAGAATAGTAGATGTTTGCCTTTGTCAGACTGTTTACAAGTGATATGCATATATGAACTGAAAACTTCCCAGAGGGACAGGCTGAGAAATCTCCTACAAACTATGGAAAACTCTGTTGATAGGTAGCTGGCATGAGTATTGGATAACTGGAAGTGTGTTGAAGTGGTAGCGCTGTTGGAGAGCAGTCAGTACAGTAAACAAAGTTTTTATTCAGATGACCAGATTAGCCAAGCAACATTTCTTTATGTTAATACATTTTAATTAGAGTGATTTTGCATTCATGCTAAACATCTGATACACAGATTTATGGCCTTTATATTGTCTAAAGGATTTTGTATTTACCATCCAAACTCATGCTTTGAACTGCTGCGACTATTTGTAGAACCAAATCCTCCATCTTGAGGTAGGCCCAGAAAGTCTCTATTGGAAGATCTGCTGAGATTACTACAGGATTTGGCACATTAAAAGTTGCATTCAGAACTGTTTTACAATGCAATACAAGGTTCAAAATAGAAAACAACTGCTTCAAGCTACTGTGCCAGAGGAAACTGCTCTTCTCAAAATCTTTGGAAGAGGAAAAATGCATTCAGTGTGTGTTTTTCTGGATCTTTCTCCAAAGTTTTTCTTTTAAAAAAATTAATATGAAAGAGTTAAGTACATATCTTACAAATAACAGCAAAACAAAGACATTCAAAGACAAAAGAAGCACAGACATTTTTTAAAGGACGCAACAAAATTGTATACACTACAATTTGCACCTTAGGAACTTTGAAATAAGAAAAAAAATCGCATTTTTGGGGATTATGTATGTCAAAATCATACAATGGGGATATGCAGTCAAGTACTAGAATTAGCATGCATGGTGTTGCATTATAAATGTCTTCTAAGAGCTGTTTAAAGGCAGTATTTACATGAAGAAAAATCTTACCTTGTTGCTGTCAAATCTACTGCTTGTTTACCTTCCACCTTCCAAACAGAAATGCAGATGTTTTGTGCGTAAGAATGAGCTATTAGCACTCACAGAAAGAAGCGCAAGTTTTGTCATGCACTGCAGAAATGTTGGCACCACTAAAATCACATGTAGATCTCCAACTGATTGCAAAGAGGGTAGAATTTTGTGTGTTCACTTTACTGCATTGGAAGAGGAACCTAGAGGGAGCGTGGGAAAGGCTCCTCCTCAACAATAAATTCCTGGTCGGTACATGATGCTTATTCCCCAAGAGTCTCAAAGCGTTTTACCCAAAGGATGACTTCATTAGCTTTACTTTACAGATGGTGAAACCAAGGCACAAAATGTGGAGCAACCTCCCTGAGGTTACCCAGCAAACTAGTGAGAGACTCAAGCCCAAAGCACCCAAAGCAAACTCAACCAAATCTCCCCGAGCCCTTTCCAGTGCTCTGCCTGCGTTTGACCAAACTGCCTCTTCACATCCATAAATAATTTTTTTAAACGCCAGAAACACAAGAAAGTTGGTATAATTTACACAGCTGAGAGCTTTTTTTTTTTTTCTCTTGACAGTCTAGTGACAGATCAAACAGTATTTTCAAATCAGGGATGCAACACATTTCAAAGCACTATGTTTAGTAAAACTTTTATACATTTTGTACATTTAATCTGTTTGTAAGCAAAGAGTCAAAGCTCCTCACTTTCACATTTTTGGATTCTGGTGACAAGACCGGAAACTTTAAAAAAAAAAAAAAAAATAAAAAGAAGAAAAAAGAATGAACACACTTGAGCAGGAAGGGGTCATTTCCAGAGGTCAGCAGCTTGGGGTCCTATAGCCAGTACAAATGGAGTGGTGCCCAAGGCCAGGCATGTACATGTTGGCCAGCGTGGTGCTGCAGCCTGTATTACAGATGCAGAAAAGTACTGCAGTACTGACACATAAACTCCAAGTCAAAGGGCCCCAGAAAGGAAAAGATCCTTACCATACTATAGTTTTAATGGTGGTAGTTTTAATTTATGTGATGAGGAATYTTGCAGAAGCAGAGTGTATGGGACCTGACCTGGACACAAAGCTTAGGACTCTAATGTCCCAGACTGACACTGGCCCCTTGACTTGAGTTGACCATGTCTGATGGCAAGAAAGGCATAATTATATGGACAAGGTGGAAGTAGAGCAAATAGCCACCTGTTGTTAGGCTTACAGACCTTTTCCTTCAATGTCCAGTCAGTCCTTTTCCTGTTGCATAATAAGCCATGAATTCTTTCATGGACTTGCATGTATCAAAGCAAGGCCAATACAGAAGCAATATTACTCTCGGACCACAGACTCAAAAGAGAACATATTTTATACCCTTGCATTGTCATTGTAGTTTATACTACTTATACTACTAGATTTTACATATCTTACATATATGTGAGCTGTTTTAAGACATTTGTTTTGCTATTACTTACATTTTTCTTTTTTAAATACAGGAAAATGTTAGGTAAATAAAGAAAATATACAGCTTTGTTATATTTTGTGTTTTCTTTGGAATGTGATATCTATATAATAAACTCTTAAAAATGTACAGAAATATCAGTATCTATTTAAAACATGTAAGACCTACAGTGAATTTTAGCATCTGCAGAACATGATCTGTGCTAACWGAACCAGCTCTTCACAGCGCATGACTTTTATATATGTATATGAAGTATTAAGATAAATAGCTATCAGGAAAATGTGTTGTTGCAATTTCATTAGCAAATACTTTATTCAAAAACTCTGGATATGAAGTCATTTGTGCCTACAAGTTTTTATGTTTCCAGTGATGTTCTGAACAGAAAAAGATAATAAAGTTTTAAATGCAAACACTTCTCTGATTTGAAGTTTATTTTGTTGTAGCAAGACTTGAAAGCAATCTACATTCTCCATCAAACCCAGACTTTGCTCCCTCTGGCCAAAAGAAGCAAAAGAATACATATGCCATTATTCRCTTCTAAATAATGGCAGATTTGAACTTTTTGCTTGTTGAAATTTTGAAGTGTCCTATATAGAGGCTGCTCTGCCTCTTCTTTTCTACTAAGCACATGGATTTAACTAATGGATAATTTTGTGGAATTTCCCAAGCCAAATAACTATGGCTTTATTATGTTACCACTAATATTTCAAGTATTTCAAAACATATCCAGCATATTACCTTAACACTTCTGGTAATTCAGAAAAGGTGGTAATATTTTTTCAAATAAATAATAGTTTCTATATATAAGCAATAATTTGCACAGAGTAGAGGAAGGGTTCAGTAAGCAGCCATCAGTACTTTAGCACACTCATTTAAACCATTTTTAAAATATTGAGTATTGAATACAAATTTTATATCACAATGAAGTAACTGGACACATGAATCAAGATAAATTTTGTTTTTTGGGAGAAGACACTTAGAATTCCTAATAATTCCTATTACTCTCTCTTTTTTTTTTTCTTTTAATACACTGTCAAGTTCTACATATTTCACTGTCTGTGACACAGTCAATCCTGAATTTCCTTCATTCCTGCTTCTCACTGAAAAAAAAATTCCTTGTTCACACCTGCCCTCATTTAAAGTACATATTTAAGTCAAATTCAGTTCATTGCCATTTTAACTATGCCTCATTCACATCTTGTGAATATTTTCCCACTAAATTGAGTGTTTATTTAATATACCAGATGGCATCTAAAGYCCAGCTCCAGAAAAGTTAGAATAGCTGGGCCATCTCTGAGCACATGAACCCGGATGCTTCCTTGTGATGGACTAAAATAAGTAGTGCAATATAGGATTTAGGGAAAGCATCACGTCCCATCTGTTCATACAGTTTACTCCAGTCCAGCACTGCTTTTTATAATGAGTCACGGGGGACATATTGAGAAGTCAAAATGGAACTGAAGCAAAAGGAACATTTGTTCTTCAGTCAGACAGATTTACTCCCTGTTCAGATGCTAAAAGATGGCCTGAAATGGATCCTGCAAACCCAGCTTTACCCTGATGCTCCAAAAGCGGTGGATGACATTATCTGCCACATGGAAGCTGCCATTGCATTTTCATTCATTTTAGTGGGAAAAGCAAGAAATCAAGAAGCAAAAGATACATTTTTCCATGAGGAAGGGATGGCAATTTTTATTTTTCCTTATGTAAAAGGAGGAGGATCATTTGCAAGTGACTTGCAGGAGCATTAGTTTGTAAAGCCCTCAAGGGAGAGTACAGGGTGCCTATCCCTCCATATAATTGCTTTACAGTATAATTTATGTGGTGCTGTTGTAAAGATCATTTTTCCCTGATACCTTCCTCTGTTACTTAGCCAGTCCTTAGTACATGCAGCCTAGGTGCCTTTTTTTCTGTCTTAACCAGTTTATGGACTTTTAAATCACAATTCAAAGACACTCTATATTTAGGTGTATAAATTTAATTCCAAATTTGACCTGTGGGAATCCCAGAACTCTGTCTATCTTGAATACAACTGGACCAGTGTAAGGAAGCAGCGGGAGGAATATAATGCAGGAAAAAAAAAGGAAAAAAAAAAAAAAGTAAATGGAAATACCAGAAATAGTTGAAGATTTTACAGGAACTTACTATTTTCCAAGAAATTCTGAGATCAGCACAGACTCGCAAACATATTTCCAAAGGAAAAATCAATATTCAGTGGTCACATCGAGCTGCACTAATGAGTGCTGCTACTAAGGACATTACAACAGCCCATTACTTAGGGAGAGCAACTGTTGCTCACTYGTCGATCTAGTCAAACCTAAATTCCTTAAAAAGACACTGTAAGCTGAACGGTTAATTTATCCACCCATGTATGAGAGCACACTTTTTAGCCACACCATTTTTTTGTTCTCTTTTTTCACCCTTTTATTCGAGGGGTGTAAGTTCTTCAAAAGCAGAGGTGCAATAACTTGGGTTAGCCCTTCCCCAGATGAGCAGTTTTCTGCAGGGGATTCAGGAACTAAATGAGGACCCCTCTTCACCTTGCCTGTTCCAGAATGATATTCCATGTGCAATCAGAAGGCTCCGTGTTAATCAGCTAAACCCCCACACTGGGGGTTTAGGTGGCCCCAAAGCCAAAGCCACAGAGTCTGTCCACTGGCAAACTCCAGAGCCCAGAGCTAAGCAACATGAGAGGATGCCTATGGAAAGAAGCTACAAAAAGAAACAGCAAAATGAGTAAATAACCTTCTCATTAAACACTGGAAACACTGAGGAGGAGGAGTGCAGGTTTCCCCCTTTCCCTGCTCTGTGCAGGGAATCTATCCTCCACCTCTCTCCAGGAGTGCAGAGCTCCAGGAACTCCTCATGTCCCCTTCTTGTTCCAAAACCCAAAAGCAATCAAGGTCCATCTCTGACTATGAGATTAAAGAATGATTGGGACAATGAAGTCTGTTATAGCAGGCAAGAAGAGCAAGGTAGTTTTGCAAAGGCTGTGTCTAAATAACAATCTTTTCACATATAGCTTGGTTAAGGGCATGTTTGGACATCGACAAGGAAGATGAAGGACTCTTTTAGAAGAAAGATTCATTATTGCAGACAGTGGCTTGTCTGGGGATGCCCAAGATGGAGGGAAGACAAATTGGTATAGGTGATAATATTTAGTAGATAAGGTATGAAATGAATAAGG